AGCTCCCAGGCCCTGAGTCCACAAACTGAAATCCTGAGGTAATTAGAGCTAATTACATATGTGCAAATAGCCGCAGTGGAGGCCACGGGTCGACCACCCCTCCCCAGGCTGTTCCCTGAGATCTCGCCCAGCAAAGGGGCTTTGCTGGCACTGAGCGCTGGGGGAAGGGTGTGCATGCAGAGAGCCCCTGGGGCCCAGGGAATGGGGTGAGCCCTCTGCCTCCAGAGTGTCCCCCATGATCACACACTCCAGCATGTGCTGTGGCCCTTGGATGGCAGGTTGCGACCGGGTTAGGAATTGGACCAGAACTTGATCCAAGCTCCCCTTGGCCTTGTGCTGACTGGGCCTTGGCAGCATGGGCCACAACATTTGTTCCTTAGGTTTCTATTATATTGGCCTCCTGAGCATTCTCATCTCTGTGAGCATTCTCATCTCTTTGAGACGGGGCCCTCCTTGTATCCTGCCAGGGGAGTGCCAGGGCAAGGGGCCACAGGAAGTTTGCTGGCCAGCCCCACCACCAATCAGGGTGGGGGGGCCTGCTGGATGGTGAGGCCAGCAGAGGTTAAAGGCTGTGGCCCTTCTGTTTGTTCTGGTCGTTCTAGTCGTTCTGCTGTTTCAGGGACCCCACCCATGTATGAATTTGTGCATTGGGCTCTGGTATCCTATATCCTATATAATAAAGAGGTAATGTGCAAATTGACCTTCACACCCTGGCACAAGATGGCCGCCCCCCATGTGGTAAAAGATGGCCACCACAAGATGACTGGCAGGAGAGGGTAGTTGTGGGAGATCAGGCCAGCATGGGAGGGCAGTTAGGGGCGACCAAGCTGGCAGGGGAGGGCAGTTAGGGGCAACTGGGACTGCAGGGGAGGGCAGTTAGGGGTGACCAGTTCAGCAGGGGAGAGCAGTTAGGGGCAACCAGGCTGGCAAGGCAGGACAGTTAGGGGCGACCAGGATGGCAGAGGAGGGCAGTTGGGGGGGAACCAGGCCTGCAGGGGAGGGCAGTTGGGGGCAATCGGGCCAGCAGGGGAGCAGTTAGGCATCATTCAGCCTGGCAGGGGAGTGGTTAGGGGTGATCAGGCTGGCAAGCAGGAGAGTGGTTGGGAGCCAGCAGTCCCAGATTGTGAGACATCTGCAGAGGGATTCCAGATTGGAGAGTGTGCAGGCTGGGCTGACACACTCCCTGCAGCGCACAAATTTTGTGCACTGGGCCTCTAGTTTGTTATAATCTGCTTTTGGATAGTGGCCATCCTAATAGGTGTGAGGTGGTATTTAATTTGCATTAATTTGCATTTCTCCAATAATTAGTGATATTGAGCATCTTGTCATATGTTTAATGACTGTTTTTATATTTCATTTGGAGAAATGTGTATTCAACTCCTTTGTCTATTATAAAATATGTTTTTATTAATTTTAGAGATGCAGGGAGAGGGATGTTTCTCTCTCAGAAACATCCATGATAGAGAAACATGGCTGCCTCCTGCATGCCCCCTACTGGGGATTGAGGCTGCAGACTAGGCATGTGCCCAGATTCAGAATTGAACCAGCAACCTCTTTGTGCATGGGGCAATGCTCAACCTACTGAGCCACACCTGCCAGGGCTCCTTTGACTCTTTTAAAACTGGGTTATTATTTTTCTTGTTTTGAATGGTACAAGTTCTTTATATATTCTGAATATCAGATATATAATTTTAAATATTTTCTCTCAGTCCGTGAGTTACCTTTTCACTCTGTCAATTGTTTACTTTGATGCACAGAAATTTTAAAATGTGATGTATTCTTATTTGCTATTTTTGCCTTGTTTCCTGTGCTGTTGGCCTCATATGTAATGTCATTGCCAAATCCAGTGTCATGAAGCTTTCCCCTATGTTTTCTTCTAGGAGTTTTATAGTTTTCAGTCTTATGTTTAGATCTTTAACATATTTTGAGTGACTTTTTATATGTGGCATAAGGGTCTAACTAAATGGTTTTGTGTGTGGATAATCCATCTTCCCAATACCATTTTTGCAAGGACTGTTCTTTATCCATTTGGGGGGACTTTTTGAGATCATTTGATAATATATGTGAGTGTTTATTTTTGAGGATGAGAGGAAGCCAGACTGCAGTTATTCAATAAGAAACAATACAACCCATACATCAAAGGCATCTCAAGAGAAAATATCACAGAGCCTGCCACATGGCACCCTGATCTCCAGGTCAAACACCAGAAGCTCCACCATTTTCAGCTCTGAGGAACTGGACTCTTCCACCTTCACATTGGCAGGAAAACAACTGCCCCATGAAAAATAGCCCCTCTGGGTGGCTCACCTCTGCCTCTGAATCTCATGATGGTGGGTCTGCTTGGTAGAATCTACATCACATGCCTCCCCCTGGGAGAGGCTGAGAATGAGAGTTGTCTATGCCCTACTTTTGGAAATAAAGACTGATAATGGGGGAAATTTCCACCCACACTAATGTCATTCAATCTAGTCAGGTCCAGCACTGGGTCAGGATCTCCATTCTATATTCAGAATATCATGAGGCTCTTATTAGTATTTCCATGCACATCATATACTGCACTCTAGTTTACATTTTCTCTTTGTAATGGCATCTCAATACTTTAATTTGTTCCCTTACTTATCTTTAGTTGCACACATTATTAACATTCTGTAGTTTATTCAACTTTTAACATTCATACAAATATACTCCCATCTGCCTCTAACATATTGTTTTCTCTGCATTTAACATCCATCTTATTTTTATTCCCCACATTTGGCATTTTTCTTAATTTTTACTGTAGTTAATATTTTGTGTCTGTCTAAGAAGAAAGCAACTTTATTCATTCGTTAACTCACATATGGGATTATCCTCTCATGATACTAGTTTATTAGTAAATCAAGAAAAAATGAATAGTAGCTTTTTCAAAATTAAAAAACAATTTCCATCTAATTAAATTAAAAAGTTGTTGGATCATGGCTACAGGGTAGTCGCAAGGTGGTGGGGCTGGTTGTTTAGGGGCACCAGGTCAGGCTCAATGGGTAGCAATGGCACGTCTGTGTTTCTGGGGGCTTTGGGTCACAGTGGCCCTATATTAAGATGGTGAGGCCAGTCTTCCTGGGGTTCCTGTTGGGTGGGCCTAGATGGGGCAGTAGGTGTGTGCATTTGGTAGGCCAGGCACACCACTCCTCAAGGGGGCAGGGTGGTTTGGGCATTCCGATTGTGAAGGAGGGATGTGGGCTGAGTCTCGGAGTTGGTGAAGGGGGAGGGGGAGGGTGGGAAATAGGCACTACTCACCCACATGGCTGGGCAGGCCCTGCACATCACCTATCAAGGTAGTGGGGTTGATTGTGTTGAGGCCATGCTTCAGGTGTTCTGCCATTGCCCAGTGTGTGTGTGAGCTTTGGGTCTCATGGTGGGGCTCTGGGTGCCTGTCTGTGGCCTAGGGGTACTGGGACACGTCTAATTCCCGCTGCCTCCTCCAATGGAGGACCCTGAGGCTCCTTCAAAATCGGGTACTCTCCAATCTCAAGTGGAGAGAAGCGCCAGTGGGACAGTGCTGGGCTCTGGCCACCAGCTCCTGCACCAGAGCACCCGAACCACTCACCCGAAGGTCCTGCACTGACAGATGCGCACCCAAAACTCATACCCTCGCATACTCTCCCTCACACCCACTCACACTTTCATCCTCACTGCTCTTGTCTGCTGCCATTTTGGTTCTCAGGCTCAGGTATATTTTAACAGGCAATCTTCGTCTATAAAAATGTGTGTTGAACGTATCTATATACTTTGAAGCACAGGCCTCATCCCTTTGTGATTTAATTTCTGAGCCCATTAGAGGAACCATCCATGAAATACCATAAATAACCAAGATAGCCAAGGAGTACAGAAAGAAAAAAAAATCTCCAGAAAATACAGTTACAAACATGGAAGACTGAGATTTAAATGACAGAGAATTCAAGATTGCTTTTCTGACAAAACTCAATGAAATACAAGAAAACTCTGAAAGTCAATATTCCACAGTGGCTGTACCAATCTGCTTCCCCAACAACAATGCACATGGTTTTCTTTTCTCCACATCCTCAGCAATACTTTTTGTTTGTTTTTATTTTAAAAAAATTTTTATTGTCAAAACAGCACAAATACAGAAATCCACATAAAACAAATGCACAGATTGCTGATGCATAATAAAAGCAAACACCTGTATCTGAAGGCCAGACCTTGCCACCCACCCCCAGAAACTTTCCATGTGCCCCCTCCCAATCATAACCTTTTTTCACCCTCCACTCCAAGAGCAACCATCATTCTGAATCTCATTTTGCCTGTTTTTTTGTTTGTTTATTTTAATGTCATTAACTTTTTAAAAAATCTTTATTGTTGAAAGTATAGGTCCTCCTTTTTCCCCATATTTATTTATTAATGATAGATTTTGTAAAAGTTATGAGGTGTACCTCACTGGTTTTAATTTGCATTTCTCTGATGACTAGTGATGTTGAGAATATTTTCATATGTCTATTGACCATCTGTATGTCCTCTTTGGAAAAATGTCTATTCAGGTCCTTGTTCCACTGTTTGTTTTTTGTTATTGAGTTGTATAATTCTTTATAGAGTTTGGATATTAACCCCTTTTCAGATGTAGCATTGGCAAATATATTCTTTTTGCTTAATCATTTTAAACATTGTAATTTCACTGAGAGACAGAGGTGGCAGCTTCATTGCTGAGTAATTGTCATAGAGAAGTTTGAGAAACCAGAGCACATAGACTATCCAGTTCCTAAAAGAGAAGAAAGAAGTGGTTCATATGGTGTCCTTATGCCCTTTCTGCCTCAGTGTCTTCTACACTGGATCCTAAAACTGTGCCTTTTCTTTTGAATATCAGACCCTGATATTCTTTTAAATCAGTATTATTAAACTTTTCTTAAATGAAAGTATAATTTTGCTAGTTTTCAAAATGCTCTACAGTCTTATGCTATAAAACATAAGAAGCCTTTTATAAGATACTTAGGAAAAATTCTCACCAGATTTCAGAAATACTTTTTGAATCCAAATAGCCCTGCTGTGATTGCTGAAGGCAACACCGAGATAAACACATTGAAGATCTTTGAAGTGACGTCTTTCTGTTCTTTAATATCTTTTTCCAGTTTATTTAATCTTTGAACAATTTCTTCTAACATCTTTATATGTTGTTTATTTATTTATTTAAGATAACGAGAGAGAGAGAGAGGGAGAAAGAGAAAAAGAGAAACATCATTTGTTGTTCTACTTATTTATGCATTCATTGGTTGATTCTTGTATGTGCCATGACTGGGGATCAAACCTGCAACCTTGGCCTTTCAGGATGGCACTCTAACCACTGATTAACCCAACCAAGACCTCAAATATCTCTTTAAATTCTTTCATAGGTAGTTCTTGGGTCTGTAAAAAGGAGAGCATTCCCTTTGGAAAATCCTCAATTATCAGCACTTTGTATTTAACAATGTCAGGAACTAAGCACATGTTTTATTTCTCTACTAACTTACATGCTCTTTGATGAGTTTGTCAATATTTCCAAATGTTTGGAAAAGTGAAGTGAGAATATCCATGATTTACACCTTCCTTATCATCTCACTGGGATGTGGATGGGTTGGGGCTAGGTTAGGCCTGACAACTGTCCTAGGAATTTGCTCAAGCCCTAAGGATGCTCTTTGGGAAGAATGGGGTTTATTTCTAATTATTTCTTAGTTCCACTGAAGTTGGATGACAACACAGGTAACAACTAATGGGAACTGCTGATTCTAGAGAACACTGGTTATCAAACTCCAGGTTGGGACAAAGAATGCATTGTACTCTAGTTTTATAGAATAAAGCAGGCTGATCTGGAAACTAATGCAATAAATTTTAGAGCTTTCATTATTTCATATTTCATATCATGTACAATCTGATACTTTCAGGACAGATGGATCTATATCAGGTCTTTTTAGTGGGTACATCAAACATCCTATAAACTAAAGTCCCATTCACTTGAGGGCATAGTGAGGCCCTATATTCACTACAAACCCAGTCCAGTAGCCTGAGGCATGTCAATTGTACCCTCCAAGCTCTAATACCACACAAGGTGCCCAGTCTCAAAGACTTAGGGCCTTAGAATGATCCCATTAACTGGACATTTCACTGAATCATATGTCTTTGTGTTTCCTTGAGTTTTTATGACTGTAGTTAAATTTTTGTCCTTCCCTTCATGAGGAGCCAGGTTGGTGTCCTTTAGGTTTTGCGAACACCCCACCCAGACTTACCCTTTGATTTTGCTTTCGCATTCTTTCCTGCTTTCTCAGTTGGCTTTCTATTTCTGTCTTCATCTTTTTCATCTCGAGTAGGTTTTCCTGAAAGATTTTCTCTTGAGCCTCCATTTTTTGCTGGAGTTCATTCAATGTCTGTCTCACTAGCTGCAGTTCCTTTTCCACTGCCTGCTTCTTTGCCTGCTCAGCTATTTCACAATGTTTTCCAAGAGAGAAGAAAATAACAGATATA